TAGCACCACTAGCACCACTAGCACCACTACCACCACTACCACCACTACCACCACTACCACCACTACCAATACTACCAACACTACCCACCCTACCACCAGTGTTCTTCCTGACTACCCCCAAACTGACCTCCCTACCATTCCAACCACTACTAGCACCACTACCACCACTAGCACCACTACCACCAATACCACCACTAGCACCCCTACCACCACTACCACCAATACCACCATTACCACCAGTGTTATTCCTGACTACCACCACTATCACCATTACCACCACTACCACCACTACCACCACTATCACCAGCGTTCTTCCTGAGTACCACCCGCTACCACTACCCATACCACCACTACCACCACTACCACCACTAGCCCCACTACCACCACTAGCACCACTACCACCACTAGCACCACTACACCACACCCACCACTACACCCCTCCCACATACCAAAACTACCACCACTACCACCACTACCCCCAAATAAATAGCACCCTACCACCACTACCACCATACCCCCACTACCACCAGTGTTTTCCTGACTACCACCACTTCCCCCATTTACCACCACTTTACCACCACTCCACACCCCCACACCACCTTCCCCTCCCATACCACCCTACCACAAAACCTTTTACCCCACTAGCACCACTAGCACCACTAGACCACTAGCACCACTACCACCACTACACCACTACCCCACTACACCCCTACCATTTAATACCCCCACTACCACCAGTTTTAACCACAAACACCACTACCACCCCCATACCACCACTACCACAACTACCACCACTACCACCATGCCCTAGCACCACTACCCCCACTACCACCACTACCACAACTACCACCATGCACCACTACACACTACCACCACTGCCACCATTTACCACCACTTACCACCACTACCCACCCCCCTACCACCACAAACCACCACTAAAAAATTAGCACCACTACCACCACTACCACCACTCCCGCACCACTACCACCACTATCCCCCACCTACCACCACTTACCACCAGTGTTCTTCCTGACTACACCACTACACCATTTCCACCACTAGCACCACTACCACCACTACACCACTACCCCCCATACACCACCGCTTCAAACCACTTCCATCACTAGCACCACTACACCACTAGCACCACAAAACCCACCACTACCCACCCCCCTAAACCCACCACTACCACTACTACCACCGCTTCTACCACTTCCATCACTAGCCCCACTAGCACCACTACCACCACTACCACCACTACCATCCACATACCACTCTAGCCCCCCACCGGGCCCCCCCCAGCACCCTCCCCCCACACCCTACCACGACCCTACCACTACATCCCCACCCAGGCCAGGTCCCTACCCCAACCCTACCCCCACTGCCAACCACACACCCTACACCACGGGCACCCACCCAACCGCCTCCCCCACGGCTTCCCCTACCACCCACACGTCCTACCCACGGACCATGCACCTCCCCACGACTGCCTACCCACTAGGCCCCTACCCCCCACACCCTAAACCACACACCCTCCCCACCACCCTCCCCCACGACACCACCCGGCTCCCACCCACACGGGACCCTACCCACCCCACCCTACCACCACGGGTCCCACTACCACCACGGCACCCTCCCCCAACCACCTCCCCCACTCCCACCCTACCACCACTACCCCCCCACACTATCCTCCCCCACCATTACCACACACCCCACCACACCGCCCACACCACGAATACCACTACTATGGTCTGTGTCACCCACGGACAGGTCGCCTCACCCACGGACAGGTCGCCTCACCCACGGACAGGTCGCCTCACCCACGGACAGGTCGCCTCACCCACGGACAGGTCGCCTCACCCACGGACAGGTCGCCTCACCCACGGACAGGTCGCCTCACCCACGGACAGGTCGCCTCACCCACGGACAGTCACCCACCCCCCGGTGACAGTCGTACCCAGGAAGGTGGGGCCTTTAAAACCCCCCGGAAAAGGTGCCTAAGAAGGTCGGGCCTTAACCCACGACAATTTTGGGCCTGACATCACACAGGCACCCCCACCCACAACAGGTGCCTATTCAGGAAAGGTCACCTAACCCCCCGACAACGTGTTCCCCCAGAGGCAGGCGCCTCCCCCAAACCGGAACAGGTTTTGGCCTAAGGAAGGTAAACCCAACCCAACAGGTCGCCAACGGAGGACTTAGTCCCCCACCCATGGGGACAGGGTAAACCTTTAACCCACGACAAGGTTTTGCCTACCCAGGACATGTGCCCCACCACCCACACAGGTGCCTAAAAGGGGGGGGACAGGCCCCCACCCACGGGGACAGGTCGGATCCCCCAGACCATCGCCCAACTGGGACCAGACAGGTCACCTCAAACCCCACCCACGGCCCAGGGGTCGCCTTAACCCCCCGACCTTTGTGTTACCAGGCAGGTCCGCCCACCCACAACAGGTGCCTAAGGCAGGTCCCCTTAACCCACCAGGCCCCAACCAGGGTACCTAACAGGACATTGCCCACCCCCACAGGTGTTACCCAAGGCAGGCGCCTTAACCCCCCGGAACAGGTGACCTAAGGCAGGTCACTTAGCCACCCCACAACAGGTGCCTAACCAGGACACGCCCCACCACACAAATTTTTACCAGGGGTAGGGGTACTTAGCCCAAGCCCCTTGGGGAGGAGAGGTCAGGAGGTCAAAGGACCCACCAGCCACAACTTGTGTGACCTGAGAGGTCAGGAGGTCACTTAGACCCACCACCACAACATTGTGTGTGACCTGAGAGGTCAGGATCACTTTGTGGGGACCCACCAGCCACAACATTGTGTGACCTGAGAGGTCGGGAGGTCACTTGACCCACCAGCCCCAACATTGTGTGTGACCTGAGAGGTCAGGTCACTCTGTGAGGCAAACCCACCAGCCACAACATTGTGACCTAAGAGAGGTCAGGAGGTCACTTAGACCCACCAGCCACAACATTGTGTGTGACCTGAGAGGTCAGGACGTCACTTAGACCCCCACCAGCCAAACATTGTGTGTGACCTGAGAGGTCAGGAGGTCACTTAGACCCACCAGCCCAACATTGTCTGACCTGAGAGGTCAGGAGGTCACTTAGACCCACCAGCCACAACATTGTGTGTGACCTGAGAGGTCGGGAAAGGTCACTTGACCCACCAGCCCCAACATTGTGTGTGACCTGAAGGTCAGGAGGTCACTTTAGACCCACCACCCACAACATTGGGGGACCTGAGAGGTCAGGGGTCACTTAGACCCACCAGCCACAACATTGTGTGTGATGTGAGAGGTCAGGAGGTCACTTAGACCCACCAGCCACAACATGTGTGTGACCTGAGAGGTCAGGTCACTCTGTGAGGCAAACCCACCACCCACAACATTGTGACCTAAGAGAGGTCAGGAGGTCACTTAGACCCACCAGCCACAACATTGTGGGGTGACCTGAGAGGGTCGGAGGTCACTTAGAACCCACCAGCCCAACATTGTGTGTGACCGAGAGGTCGGGAGGTCACTTAGACCCACCAGCCCAACATTGTGTGTGACCTAAAGAGGTCAGGAGGTCACTTAAAACCCACCAGCCCCAACAAATTGTGTGGACCTGAGGGTCAGGGGGTCACTTGACCCACCACCACAACATTGTGTGTGACCTGAGAGGTCAGGAGGTCACTTAGACCCACCAGCCACAACATTGTGTGTGACCTGAGAGGTCAGGAGGTCACTTAGACCCACCAGCCACAACATTGTGTGTGACCTGAGAGGTCAGGAGGTCACTTAGACCCACCAGCCCACAACATTGTGTGTGACGTGAGAGGTCAGGAGGTCACTTAGACCCACCAGCCACAACATTGTGTGGCCCTGAGAGGTCGGGAGGTCACTTAACCCACCAGTACAACATTGTGTGTGACTGAGAGGTCAGGAGGTCACTTAGACCCACCAGCCACAACATGTGTGTGACCTGAGAGGTCAGGAGGTCACTTAGACCCACCAGCACAACATTGTGTGTGACCTGAGAGGTCAGGAGGTCATTTAGACCCACCAGCCACAACATTGTGTGTGACCTGAGAGGTCAGGAGGTCACTTAGACCCACCAGCCACAACATTGTGTGTGACCTGAGAGGTCAGGAGGTCACTTAGACCCACCAGTCACAACATTGTGTGTGACCTGAGAGGTCAGGAGGTCACTTAGACCCACCAGCCACAACATTGTGTGTGACGTGAGAGGTCAGGAGGTCACTTCGACCCACCAGTCACAACATTGGTCACGTGACTCACAACTACCTCGGTATAACAAGGTTATTAACAGTAATTATACCGCTAAATATCCTTCATAATTTCCACCATCTGGATCTTATAATAATATAAATTAAGATATTTTTATTTTAGTTATTAAACAAAACATCTCCGATATAAAGTTATATGATAATTATGATGAGTCATGTTAATGGCTCTTGTTACGAGGAATTAGAGTCACCACTTCCCTTCCTCGGATCAAACCTATTTGCTTCACATTTCCGTCCCCTGCATGACCCGTATGTATTTAGCGCATCCTCGAAAAATAAAAGATTTCCCAGATTTTAAATTTAAAAAAAAAAAAAAAAAAACGCGCCAAGAGTTGGCGGGAGTTGTCAAAACTAAACTTATAGTCGGCCGAAGCTTTTTTTTAAATTATTAAATCAAATTTTAATTTAATCAAAGTTTATATAAAAGTTTTAAATTTAAAGCAATTTTTATATTGATTTTATCGAATCTGTTTTTGTTATTAAGTTTATAATAATGTACATTATAGTTTTTAAATGAAATATTTACCTCCGTCTGGGTGGCGGAGAATGTCAAAATAAAACTATAATCTGATAATAAGTTTTCAGCAACTTTAAAATAAAATAAAAATATATTAATAGTTTCTTATATAATTTACATTTACTTTTATATATACTTAGCAAAACATTAGATAAACATATTAAATATATTATTAGCAATAGTTGAGAGTAAAGAGTTTAATATTATTGTTTACAATTTTCTCTGAGGTTGAAGAATCTTCCTGGTGAAGTCGAACTTCCGGTTCAGCGCTGATTTTTAATAATTATCTCGACCGGAGACTTCCGAGTGAGTCCTCCATTACTCCTATTATTACTTATATCTTGTTGAAGTTGTTGACAATGATAAAACTGTCTTATAAGTTGTGGAAATTTGTTATTATTGTGTTGATGTGTGGCAGCGCGTGTTGTGGCCACGTGACCACTTAACTTCCGACGGGTTTAGCGCTTCCGTCATTATTATAATACACGCTTATGTTAGACCTATCTTAGGCCTGTTGTTATAGGCCTATCTTAGGCCTGTTATAGACCTATCAGGCCTGTATTATAGACCTATCTTAGGCCTGTTATAGACCTACCTTAGGGCTGTTATTATAGACCTATCTTAGACCTGTTATTATAGACCTATCTTAGGCCTGTTATAGACCTACCTTAGGTCTATTATAGACCTATCTTAGGCCTGTTATAGACCTATCTTAGGCCTGTTATAGGCCTATCTTAGGCCTGTTATAGGCCTATCTTAGGCCTGTTATAGACCTATCTTAGACATGTAGGGTTCTTTTAGACTTAGACATTAGGCATTTGTAGGCTATATGGTTTTAGACTTGTACCTGTAGGGTATTTGATTGTTAGCGATTTAGGCCTGTTTATCGGTATTTTAGACCTATGTTTAGCCCTGTGGGTTATTTTAGACCTGTGTTAGCCCTGTCGGGTTATTTTACAGTAGCCTGTGTTATAGCCTGTCCGGGTTATTTTAGACCTGTGTTAGCCCTGTCGGGTTATTTTAGACCTGTGTTAGCCCTGTCGGGTTATTTTAGACCTGTGTTAGCCCTGTCGGGTTATTTTAGACCTATGTTAGCCCTGTTGGGTTATTTTAGACCTGTGTTAGCCCTATCGGGTTATTTTAGACCTATGTTAGCCCTGTCGGGTTATTTTAGACCTGTGTTATCCCTGTTGGGTTATTTTAGACCTATGTTAGCCCTGTTGGGTTATTTTAGACCTGTGTTAGCCCTGTCGGGTTATTTTAGACCTGTGTTAGCCCTGTCGGGTTATTTTAGACCTATATTAGCCCTGTCGGGTTATTTTAGACCTGTGTTAGCCCTGTTGGGTTATTTTAGACCTATGTTAGCCCTGTTGGGTTATTTTAGACCTGTGTTAGCCCTGTTGGGTTATTTTAGACCTGTGTTAGCCCTGTTTGGTTATTTTAGACCTGTGTTAGCCCTGTTGGGTTATTTTAGACCTGTGTTAGCCCTGTTGGGTTATTTTAGACCTGTTAGCCCTGTTGGGTTATTTTAGACCTATGTTAGCCCTGTTCGATTATTTTAGACCTATGTTAGCCCTGTTGAGTTGTTTTAGACCTGTTAGACCTATGTAGTTATTTTAGACATGTTAGGGCTATATGGTCATTTTTCGACCTATAGGATCATGTTAGGCCTCATTAACACCTGCAACAACTAAATATATTTGTTATAATAGTCGCGGTCAAGTGAGTTACGAAGCTTCAGTTTAACATAAAGGACCCCAATGGAAATAAGTCACTCTGTCTGACTTTTTTGGGTTATCCCAGGTTCTCTACACATATGCTGCTATGTATGATAATTCTATGTAACTGTATTGTGTATACCTGAATAAATTTACTTACTTACTTATAAATCTTTGATAATTATAAACAACAGAAGACTATAATTGAGCAGTTATTATGTGGCTGAACTTAGAGACGTTGTATCCTGGAGTCTACCTGGAGGGGTCGACGCCCCCCGTGACCCACAACCAGGCCACCTGGTAGATGTTATGAAATATTGTGGCAGTTGTGAGTAATACAGTGGACCCTCGAATTTAGTCCTGCCTTTTCTGTATGCAAAACTATTTTTATTATCTATAAAATGTATTTTTTGTTAATATTTTTGTGTCTGGAATGGTTTAATTGGATTTACATTATTTCCTATGGGAAATATTAACAAAAAATATATTTTATAGATAAAAATAGTTTTGAATACAGAAAAGGCACGACTAAATTCGAGGGTCCACTGTACTTATGTTATAGTAGTAGGTTCAGCACGGTAGTACAGCGTACGCGCCGTGACAGTGATCACGGTATGTCACTCTCACTATCTAATGTCTCATAAGAACTTAAACTAACCCAGTTGGTGGATGAACTTATGTTCAATATTTATAAAACATTCCACATAGCGTTTGAGGACTAAAGTTGTAAATATTCAGTCGAATATGAAGGTAAATAATGTAGACATTGACAGACAAAACTAGGGAAAATGTTCACGTTTATAGCTTAACAGTAAACTACAGAAGTGTGATCCAGCACGTTATTCCCACACATCGTCCATCTCCCACTAAGGTCACCATCTCCCACTAAGGTCACCATCTCCCACTAAGGTCACCATCTCTCACCTCACTATAACTCACCTGGATATAAAACCCTTGTAATTAACTTTGTTACTTATTAAGCTAATTTGTTTGGTTATTAAATTTATCTGAATATAAATAAAAGTTGTGTTAATAATTGTTGTGGACAATTAATAGTTTATGTAGGTGTTCAGCGCTGTATGACCCTTGTGGGTTTAGCGTTTAGTTTTGATTGTAATAATAATGGGCAGCTGTTTACCTATGTAAATATTTAGGAAGAATTGGTTAAGTTGTTTGTGAAGAAAGACTTTGTCGTATAAATTCGCATTCGGAATGAAAGCTTAAGATACTGTGAACATTAATGAGAAGCTCCGGTAGTTAATGTGTAGTTCAACTTTAGTTTATACTACCTAGGTGCAGGTGAAGATAATTTTATAGTTAAGCTGGTAAATGTTGGTTTATGGTAGAAGTGATGGAACTCTTCTCTCTATACTCACAAGAACATTGTTACAAGGCAGTGTTGCGTTTGTGTCAAGTTCAGTGGAAAATTCAATATTTGTGTATTCTGAATTTCAATATTGTAAAAACAATGGTACATGGCCACGGGATTTATTTATTAGAAAGTTATCGTCGAGACAACATTGATACAACGATAGTTTATGTTCCACCAGACACTAATTCAACCAGTTGACCTCATAACACGCAAGAAAAATAGTTCTAAATAAGTCCCACTGGATATCCTATTACAGCCCCATCCCTACCTGCCTGGAGGGTGTTCTAGGGGTGCCCCTGAAGCCCAGTCCATGACCAGGCCTGGCAGTGGATCAGGACCTGATCAGCTAGGCTGTTACTCCAGGCTGCCTGCAAACCATTAAATATAAAATAACAATCACCTGCTGCTACGGATAATTTATGAAGCTCTCGTCTATTAAAATTTTGAATACAATCATTATCTTTAAATAGAGCATCTATACATATATCTATCATCTCTAGTACATATATCTATTGTCTCTAATACATATACAGTAGGACCCCCGTATCCACGAGGGATGTGTTTCAAGGACCTGCCATTTATTTATTTTATTTATTTATTTATTTATTTATTTAATAATTTGACATTACAGAGGTACAAAAAAATACAGGTAAGAGCAGCATGCCAAAGCCACTTATATGCATAGCATTACGGGCTGGCTTAAAATTAACTTAAGATTAACTAAGCAATGATGAAATCAGTGATAAGACATTATTGTAAACAGATAACTATAAAGCACAAGTGAGTATTACAAAGACAGGTCATGTGGTTGCTTGTATTGTTGTACATTCAGTAGAATGGAGTATTCTGTTAGGTAGTGTATTTAAAAAATAACAAAGTTAGATTGGGTCCTAGGTTTAACATTTATGTGATATAATTGTGAGTAACATTTTGGATATACAATTTATAAGGTTCAGTTATTCAGTATTTATTTGGTTTTGAGTGAGTAAGTGAACTTTGAGAAGAGACTTGAATTTATAAACAGGTAGTGTTTCTTTTATATTTACAGGTAATGAATTCCAGATTTTAGGGCCTTTTATGTGCATTGAGTTTTTGCATAGTGTGAGATGGACACAAGGAACATCAAAGAGTGATCTGTGCCTTGTGTTATGGTCATGTGTTCTGTTGAGGTTGGTAAGGAGATGTTTGAGGGGAGGGTTAATATCAGATTAAGTGTTCTATGTATGTAATAGGTGCAATAATAAGTATGGATGTTTTGTATGGTGAGTAGGTGGAGTGTTTTGAATATTGGTGGAGTGTGCTGCCTGTAGTGAGAATTTGTTATTCTGACTGCAGCCTTTTGTTGGGTAATTAGTGGTCTGAGATGGTTAATTGTTGTTGAGCCCCATGCACAAATTCCATAGGTGAGATAGGGGTAAATAAGAGAGTGATATAGGGCCAGGAGGGCTGACTGTGGAACATAGTACCGTATCTTCGATAGTATGCCTGCAGTCTTGGAAATTTTCTTAGAAATTTGCTGTATATGTGTATGAAATTTGAGTCTATTATCGAGGTGGATTCCTAGGAATTTTCCCTCTGTTAGCTTTGTGATAGGTGATCCATTTATTATTATGTTAAGAGGGACATCTGTAGCTCTGTTACCAAACTGAATGAAGTAGGTTTTGTCAATGTTTAGTGTAAGTTTGTTGTCCTCATCCAGGTTGATATTTTCTGTAATTCGGTATTTACAGTATTGGCTAGCATGACTGGGCTCGGGTGAGAGAAGACGTATGTAGTGTCATCTGCAAGTAGTGTGGGTTTGAGCAGATAGTAGCAAACCCTATATAGTATACCTCTTATAAAGTTTAATTGATAAATTATGCACAATAAGTGGAGAACTCTCACTTTTTCACTGATGGGAAGCACTTCACAGCTTCTCTTAGACTTTGAACAACTGTCAGCTTCTCTACTTTTGTACTTTGGGGTCATTATCATGCAAAATTAAGAGGTATTTTTGGGCCACATAAACCGTGGATAACCAAAACCACGGATACCGAATAGGTGGATATGGGGGTTCTACTGTAACAGCGAATCCTCAGGTTATTCTTCAGCTCTGTGTATTGTTGGTTAAGCCTCATTTAGATTCTGCTTCACAGTTCTGGTCACAGTATTACAGAACGGATATAAATACTCTGGAAAACATAGAGGAGGATGACAAAGTTGATCCAGGCATCAAAAATCTCTCCTAAAAGATTAGACTGAGGGCAATGAATCTGCATTCTCCAGAAAGTTGTAGAATTAGGAGAGATATGACTGAGGTGCATAAATGGAAAACAGGAATAAATAAAGGAGACATAAATACATGTAATGTGTTAAAATATCTAACCATGACAGGACTTGCTGCAACAGGTTTAAATTGAAAAAATTTAGATTTAGAAATTATATGGGAAAGTAATGGTTTGGTAAGAGTTGTGTATGAGTGGAACAAACTCTTGAGTAACCTCATTAAGGCTAAAACAATGTGTGGTTTTAAAAATAGGTTAGATGTATACCCGAGTGGGTGTAAATGTTAGTTGGACCTGATTAACTTGAGCCAGTAGGCCTACTGCAGTCCTCATCTTATGTTAACTTTATGAGAACTGACTGTATATACAGGAACTTGATAAGAGAACTGACTGTATATACAGGAACTTTATAAGAACTGACTGTATATACAGGAACTTTATAAGAGAACTGACTGTATATACAGGAACTTTATAAGAGAACTGACTGTATATACAGGAACTTTATAAGAGAACTGACTGTATATACAGGAACTTTATAAGAGAACTGACTACTGAATTTTGTCTCAGTTTGGACTGTGTATAGGCATATAAATACTAACATTTCTCCCGTGCCTCATTCGGATAGGCCTATAGTTACATAGGCATCACTTTGTAGAAAATAATTTTTTTTTTTTTCAGTATGTCTGGCATGTACGACAAGGGCGACATGAAGGGCGGCATGATGGATGACGGTGCACCCATCCACCGCATCCGCATCACACTTACCTCCAGTAATGTCAAGTCACTAGAGAAAGGTACGATCATCCAGACTATCCTGCACCCCAGACTATCCTGCACCCCCAGACTATCCTGCACCCCCAGACTATCCTGCACCCCAGACTATCCTGCACCCCAGACTATCCTGCACCCCAGACTATCCTGCACCCCAGACTATCCTGCACCCCAGACTATCCTGCACCCCCAGACTATCCTGCACCCCCAGACTATCCTGCATCCTGCACCCCCAGACTATCCTGCACCCCCAGACTATCCTGCACCCCCAGACTATCCTGCACCCCCAGACTAATCCTGCACCCCAGACTATCCTGCACCCCAGACTATCCTGCACCCCAGACTATCCTGCACCCCAGACTATCCTGCACCCCAGACTATCCGCACCCAGACTATCCTGCACCCCCAGACTATCCTGCACCCCCAGACTATCCTGCACCCCCAGACTATCCTGCACCCCCAGACTATCCTGCACCCCCAGACTATCCTGCACCCCCAGACTATCCTGCACCCCAGACTATCCTGCACCCCAGACTATCCTGCACCCCAGACTATCCTGCACCCCAGACTATCCTGCACCCAGACTATCCTGCACCCCAGACTATCCTGCACCCCCAGACTATCCTGCACCCCCAGACTATCCTGCACCCCCAGACTATCCTGCACCCCCAGACTATCCTGCACCCCCAGACTATCCTGCACCCCCAGACTATCCTGCACCCCAGACTATCCTGCACCCCAGACTATCCTGCTGTCAGCATAGTTGCTGATCCTCTGTATATGTTATCTGAGTATCATAGTACCATCCATATGTTTTACATACATGACCCGTTGCTAGGCTCAGTGACTAGCATGTGTGACGTCACGTGATGCCGCATGAATGCGTGGGATGCGCTATCCTGCTCTCAGTTTCACCGTAGACCTACCAGGCAACAGGACAGGCCAGTCTGGGCTCCTTCACACACTGCTAACATAAGTGTTACCATCCAACAAGTGTGTTTAACTCCAACCATCACATCTCCACAAACCCTCCCAACCCTCACCCCAGACTATCCTGCACACGTCCACTGAGGAATGAGAGGAAATAGGATTTGATCCAAGGAAGTGGAGGCTGTTGCCAACTCCTTCCATCACAAATAATAAGACTTAACAAATAATATTTTTGGGATTTTGCTATGTTATATTTTATTCTATTTTCATGTGTTATTATATTTTCTTACATCAAATATTTTCTTCTATTTTCCTATTATTTTTTTTTTTTCAACAAACTGGCTATAGTGAACCATGGCCGGGCTGCTGTACTTTATACAGGAGAACGGGTTACTAGCTCCTTGCTCCCATATTTTCTTTTATTGTCCAATTTTTTCCTCTATTTTCTTATCCAATATTTTCCTCTATTTCCTTATCTGATATTTTCTTATATTAAATGTTTTATTATTTTATTTTTTAAGACATTGGTAGTCTCCCACTGATGCTGGTGACCTGAACAAGAAACACTTTCTCCATCATTCACACTATGTCTTGCCAGAGGTACACTGATACAACATTTTAGATGTCACTTTAAACAGCAAATATCCTAAACCTCTCCTTGAAAGTTCAGACATTGTACTTCCCACCTCCAGGACCTGAAATCTGGCTAACTGGTTTCCCTGAATCCCTTCACAAAATATAACCTTACACACCTCCAGCTCAAGTCCCAAAAACCATTCATCTCTACTCCTATCTAACACACTCACATACGCCTCCTGCATGTCCAGGCCCCTTGCACAGAAAACCTCCTTTACCCCCTCCCTCAGACACGTCGTCTCCACTGCCTCTGGCCTCTTCCTTGTTGTAAGAATCACAACCCATGCTTCACACCCATATAAGAGTGTTGGGACCACTATACTCTCAAACATTCCCTTCTCTGAATCCATGGATAACATTCTTCGTATCCACAGACTCCTCAGTGCTCCATTCGCCTTTGTCTATGGTTTACCTCGTCCTTCGTATACCCATCCCCGGATACATCCACTTGCATATACAGTGGAACCTCAAATATCGAACTTTCTTCGGTCCAGAAGGCTGTTCGAGTGCCTTTACCGAATGAATTTATTCCCATCAGGAATAATGTAAATTAGATTAGTCCATTTCAGACCCTCAAAAATACACTTATAAAAGCACTTACAAAAATACACTTACATAATTGGTCGTGTTGGGAGCAGTTCGATTTTTGAGGTTCCACTGTATCTGAAAACATTCACTTCTTCAATACTCCCTCCCTCAATCTGGTATCCAATTTTTCCTTATCTAACTAGTTTGATACCTTTATCACATTATTATTATCAATGTTCGCTGTCAAGTACCCTTATACAACCTCGCAAACTCATCCACTAACCCTTGCAACTTCTCTTCAGAATCTCCTAAATGCATAGTGTCATCAGCAAAAAGTAACTGTGCAATCTCCCATTTTGTATTCGATTCCCCATAATATAATCCCACCCCTCTCCCCAACACCCTAGAATTTACTTCTTTTACAACCCCATCTATAAACATGTTAAACAACCACGGTGACATTACACAACCCTGTCTTAAGACCTACTTTTACTGGGAAGTAATCTCCCTCTCTCCTGTACACCCTAACCTGAGCCTCACTATCCTTATAAAAGCTACATCATTTATTAACTTACTACCTGTTCCATACACTTGCAACATCTGCCACATTGCTCCTCTATCCACCCTGTCATAAGCCTTTTTTAAATCCATGAAAGTAACATTAACTTCCCTTCCATTTATCTAAATATTGTTCACTTATATGCTTCAGTGTAAACACTTGGTCTACACATCCCCTACCCATTCTAAAGCCTCCTTGTTCATCTACAATCCTACTCTCCATCTTATAATTCTTTCAGTAATAACCCTACCATATACTTTACCCAGTATACGTCATTATCATCAGAGTTGACATACTTGGTGTTATTATCATCAGAACAAATTTATTCCATTTCGGAAGGAAAATCAACATTTTTGCAAATCATGTCACTTCCGCTGGTACTTATAATTTGAGTGTCGTGGGCAGTGCCAGGGACAGTAACCATGACACTGTAGTTGTGGGCAGTGCCAGGGACAGTAACCATGACACTAGTCATGGGCAGTGCCAGGGACAGTAACCGTGACAATGTAGTCATGGGCAGTGCCAGGGACAGTAACCACAACACTGTAGATGTGGGCAGTGCCAGGGATAGTAACCATGACACCTGTAGTCGTGGGCAGTGCCAGGGACAGTAACCATGACACGTGTAGTCATGGGCAGCGCCAGGGACAGTAACCACGACACTAGTCGTGGGCAGTGCCAGGACAGTAACCACTCACCATTATACAGTGCCAGGGACTGAAACCCACGACTCTAGTCGTGGGCATGCCATGGGACAGTAACCATGAACGTTTTAGTCATGCAGGCCAGGGACAGTAACCACGACACTAGTCGTGGGCAGTGCCAGGGACAGTAACCACTACACCAATCATAGGCAGTGCCAGGGACAGTAACCACGACACTAGTCGTGGGCAGTGCCAGGGACAGTAACCAAAACACAAGGTACTCTTATCTAACTGTATTTACCTTGGCTCCATAATTATTAATAAGTACTGAGGCTTTGTATCTTGTGCAAACTAAGATCTTGGTTATAACTCTCACCATAATATTTAAAGGGGTAGACTGGTAAGCCAGCAGAAGGCCTCGGTCAGATGACCAAAAGCTCCAATGGCAGTTCATCATATAACTAAGACCTGCGTCAGGAAACACGTGTCCTGTTACCTGACCAACCTGACCTGACTTTGTGGAAACTGACACAAGGAAAACTTTCCTGGCCAACCTGACCTGACCTTGTGGAAACTGACAAAAGGAAAACTTTCCTGACCAACCTGACCTGACCTTGTGGAAACTGACACAAGGAAAACTGTTACCTGACCAACCTGACCTGACCTTGTGGAAACTGACACAAGGAAAACTGTAAAAATTCAGCACATTTTATTGTTATTAGTAAAGTGTTAAGAGGTTGTGGGGTGCTGGATACTTTTGTTTTGTCGAAAGTCACTTTAACGATCCTCTCAGATAACAGTCACTTCTTCCTAAAAACTCCTCTATATTAGTGTGATTTTTGTAAATAGTTAATAAATTGGTCAAATTATTATTTTTGTACAGTGTGTTCAGAGCTGGTGATGCGCGCCAAGGAGAAACAGTTGAAGGTGAAGGGTCCTGTGCGCATGCCCACCAAGACCCTGCGCATCACCACCCGCAAGACCCCGTGTGGTGAGGGATCCAAGACCTGGGACCGTTCCAGATAGACCACAACGGGTCATGACCTGCACTACCCTGAGGGGTGGTCAAACAGATCACCAGCATCAGTATTGAGCCTGATGTTGACGTCGAGGTCACCATCGCTGAGTAGAACGGAGGTCGTTTGTCACCATCGCTGAGTGAGGCGGAGACTGTCAGTCATCATCGCCGCGGAGATGACAATAAACATTGTCGTACACTGAAATGTCCTTATTATCCACATCAAAAAAGGGGAAACATTGTGTTATGGTTTGGAACACTAAGACCATCCTGATGTGCCTGGTTGATGGGCAGGTTAACCAGGCTGTACAGTATATGAACCACAGCCTGCATGATCAGGAACTGATTAAATGAACTTTCCAAGTTCTCACCAGAAGACAGTCAAACATGTGTTGGTAATCCCCCTTATGTATGTGGTGTGTTACAAGTCTTGGTCCTCTTACACTTATTGTCTCTTCATGATAATCTTTGTGTTTGACTTTGTACAAGCAGTGAAGGTAATGTTTGATGCACCTTGACTGATGGTTCAATAGCACATTAAGTGTAAGAAGACCAAGACTGTCCAATCCTCCTTACACTACTGCCACCCTGATGACCTGTGTGGGTTTAGTGCTTAGGTGACAGCAGTCAACTAACACCCAGATACCTGTTTACTGTGGGGTGGTTCTTGATCCAAGGAAGTGGATCGGCTTAAGTTCCTTGAATCAAACCTGAATGGCTTCCATTGCCCCAGGTGCTCTGGAACCCTGAGTTTAGCTCTGCTAGCAAGTGTGTGGGAACAGCAGAGGTCTGCTAGCAGCACTGGCAGTGCTCTTATAATCCCTAAAGGTTTAGCACCTAACCAACAGTATATAAGTACTGGGTCAGTGATGAGCTAAAATGATATCTGAGAACATTAATGGGGCCAGGTGGTTTAAGGGCTGCTCTGGTTTATTGATTCCTTTCGAGGGAGGTTCCTTGATGCTGGTGAGGCGCTCTGATCGAAGGAATTGTATCTGTTCTCCAGTTCCCAAAATTAAGCCTGAATACCTTCCATCCCTTCCCTCCCACAGTGTTGTATAATCCTATGGGTTTAGCACTTCCCCCCCCTCAAGGAAGGTTCCTTGATGTTGGTGAGGGGCTCTTGATTTAGGGAATTGGATCTGTGCTCCAGTTCCCCGAATTAAGCCTGAATGCCTTCCACATCCCCCCCCCAGGTGCTGTATAATCCTCTGGGTTTAGCGCTTCCCCCTTGATTATAATAATAATAATTAGCACTTCCCATTATTATAATGTTTGTGATTCATTACAATAGCAGTGCTCTATGACCCTTGTGGGTTTAGTGCTTATGATTATAGTTTATTACACTAAGTCAGTGACCAGCTGCCACACATTACCATGCAATTTTGTCAACTTTAAGGGCTGCTACAACTCACAACACTGCCAGTCACACATCGTCGTCAAACACTGACGAGGGTTCATTAGTGTCGGTAATATGGATCACTTATGGTCTGGATATTATTGTCACTTAACTAAAGAAAAAGGCTTGAATTTTCTAAAAATTTATTTTAAAACTTTATCTTCCATAAAACACCTGACACTCATATATAAATTACATAAAACACCTGTAACCTATTATACTGATATAAATGGTAAATATTTTAGTCCGTTCTCTTATAAATCTTCTCTGTACAGTTCTTATAAAGACCTAAATTGAAAAATTACATTTAAAACTGATAACGTGTACTATGGAGGTTGTTTGACGTACTTTTTCAGTTGCATTTACAAAAAAAATGGCCCCATATAGAGAAGCTTTATAACAGTTGACTGTATATAAAGGAGTTTTTTAAGAGCTGAATGTATAGAGAGTAGCTTTATAAGAACTGACTGTACATAGAGCTTTATAAGAGATAACTGCATAGCAAATATAGCTAGATCTGATGCTGTGTTAACAAGGGAGTGAGAGACACTTGACTACAGTGCGACCCTTGCTGTAAAAATGTCTTTAAAACATTCTTCGCTTTTTCATCACTAATTAAAATATACCCAGAGAAACATTAATTATACATAGCTTTATACAAGATATTTACATTATTGAATGTTAACATGTTGAATGTAAAATATTTTACCTTGGGGAAGGCAGGTGATGCAGCTGTTGAAGCTGCTTATCACGTTCCATTGTAAGTATATTTTGCATTGTTGCGTGTCACAACTGGTCACAGTACATACATTGTGTCACAACTGGTCACAGTACATACACTGTTGTGTGTCACAACTGATGGTCACAGTACATACACTGTTGTGTGTCACAACTGATGGTCACAGTACATACACTGTTGTGTGTCACAACTGATGGTCACAGTACATACACTGTTGTGTGTCACAACTGATGGTCACAGTACATACACTGTTGTGTGTCACAACTGATGGTCACAGTACATACATTGTTGTGTCACAACTGATGGTCACAGTACATACATTGTTGTGTCACAACTGATGGTCACAGTACATACATTGTGTGTCACAACTGATGGTCACAATACATACGTTCATTCTAATTTATTTTTTAGTAAAAACGAAATAGATAATTTACCTAGGAGCAAATATTGTAATGTGATCTTCACCTAGGTTTGTGTGTCAACTTGGCACCTAGGTGGTACAATCCATGACTGGTGGAATTAACATCAATTAAGGTTATTAATCAAACTCTTGAACTTGGTTTAAAACCTTGAAAGTTCCCCTCAATATTCAGTACATACTTAAATATTACATTGATAAATATCACCACAAACTGAGGACCAGAAAATGTTCCCACAGGTGGACCAGGTTCATAACCAGGCCTCCTGGTGGACCAAGTCCATAACCAGGCCTCCTGGTGGACCAAGTCCATAACCAGGCCTCCTGGTGGACCAGGTTCATAACCAGGCCTCCTGGTGGATCAGGTCCATAACCAGGACTGGTGGACCAGGTCCATAACCAGTAGTTCTCCGAGCACCTGTTTAACACTAGGTGCTCACAGAGCCCTGGTGATAACACCTAGGTGCTCACAGAGCCCTGGTGTTAACACCTAGGTGCTCACAGAGCCCTGATGTCAACACCTAGGTGCTCACAGAGCCCTGGTGTCAACACCTAGGTGCTCACAGAGCCCTGGTGTTAACACCTAGGTGCTCACAGAGCCCTGATGTCAACACCTAGGTGCTCACAGAGCCCTGATGTCAACACCTAGGTGCTCACTCTCAATATCCCATAACTTATAAAACCTCTTAAGTTTATTTACAGCACTTGAGTGATGATGAGGAGCTCTAAACTTGTAAGGGTCAAGCCCACATAGAAGGAATTTCAATATGTAATGGCTTACAATCTACACGTATTTCAAAGTCACTTTGAAATTTAGATGGAACTGTGACATTAGAAAACAGTGGACGAACCCTCCCCTTCCTTGGATCAAACCACGGTGTTTGTCATTTGTAAGCTGCAGTACGACCCCTTACAGGTTTACCGCACCATCATGTCCATATTTTGGACTCTAAATAAATTATAATTTCAAAATAACTTTGACAAATTTGAAAAAAAAAAAAAAGAAATTGATTTGAATTTACAATTTTTTAGGAATTCTTTTGTGATCTTAATGAATTGTGGACCAGAACAATAACAATGTTCTAGTTATTGTGGACCAGAACAATAACAATGTTCTAGTGTTATTGTGGACCAGAACAATAACAATGTTCTAGTGTTATTGTGGACCAGAACAATAACAATGTTCTAGCGTTATTATGTACATTATGTGGCCCCAGGAACGTAACCTTATTTTTCCATATGTTTTTCACTCTGTTTTAGACAATTTTCGTCGAAGACGCCATTTTCAAGAGCATAATTCCTGCCTTAGTAGATGATCAACTACTTACTTATATGTGGTTGTAGGGGTCAAGCCACAGCTCCTGGCCCTCTGTTTGCACTCACCTATATATGTGTTGGTGTGTACAGTATTCACTGTATATACGACATCAAGCTGTTTCAGAAATTTGTCAGGTTTTCTACAGAAATATGCAAAAACTATTTATTTTCTGTGATTTCTGTAATGTACTATATTGATAGTGTTGGGGGCCCACATGATGGTGTGAGGGGCCCACATGATGGTGTGTGAGGAACCTACATGATGGTGTGTGAGGAACCTACATGATGGTGTGTGAGGAACCTACATGATGGTGTGTGAGGAACCTACATGATGGTGTGTGAGGGACCTACATAATGGTGTGTGAGGAACCTACATGATGGTGTGTGAGGGACCTACATGATGGTGTGTGAGGGACCTACATGATGCTGTGTGAGGGATCCACATGATGGCATGAGGGGGCCCACATGATGGTATGAGGGACCCACATGATGGTGTGTGAGGAACCTACATGATGGTGTGTGAGGGATCCACATGATGGTGTGTGAGGGACCTACATGATGGTGTGTGAGGAACCTACATGATGGTGTGTGAGGGATCCACATGATGGCATGAGGGGGCCCACATGATGGTGTGTGAGGGGACCCACATGATGGTGTGTGAGGAACCTACATGATGGTGTGTGAGGGATCCACATGATGGTGTGTGAGGGACCCACATGATGGTGTGTGAGGGGACCCACATGATGGTGTGTGAGGGACCTACATGATGGTATGTGAGGGACCTACATGATGGTGTGTGAGGGACCTACATGATGGTGTGTGAGGGACCCACATGATGGTGTGTGAGGGACCTACATGATGGTGTGTGAGGGACCTACATGATGGTGTGTGAAGAACCTACATGATGGTGTGTGAGGGACCTACATGATGGTGTGTGAGGAACCTACATGATGGTGTGTGAGGGACCTACATGATGGTGTGTGAGGGGACCCACATGATGGTGTGTGAGGGACCTACATGATGGTATGTGAGGGACCTACATGATGGTGTGTGAGGGACCTACATGATGGTGTGTGAGGGACCCACATGATGGTGTGTGAGGGACCTACATGATGGTGTGTGAAGAACCTACATGATGGTGTGTGAGGGACCTACATGATGGTGTGTGAGGGATCCACATGATGGTGTGTGAGGGACCCACATGATGGTGTGTGAAGAACCTACATGATGGTGTGCGAGGAACCTACATGATGGTGTGTGAGGGACCTACATGATGGTGTGTGAGGAACCTACATGATGGTGTGTGAGGAACCTACATGATGGTGTGTGAGGGGACCCACATGATGGTGTGTGAAGAACCTACATGATGGTGTGCGAGGAACCTACATGATGGTGTGTGAGGGACCTACATGATGGTGTGTGAGGAACCTACATGATGGTGTGTGAGGAACCTACATGATGGTGTGTGAGGAACCTACATGATGGTGTGCGAGGAACCTACATGATGGTGTGTGAGGGATCCACATGATGGTGTGTGAGGGACCTACATGATGGTGTGTGAGGAACCTACATGATGGTGTGTGAGGGACCTCCATTGATGGTGTGTGAGGAACCTACATGATGGTGTGAGAGAACCTACATGATGTGTGTGAGGAACCTACATGATGGTGTGTGAGGGATCCACATGATGGTGTGTGAGGGACCTACATGATGGTGTGTGAGGAACCTACATGATGGTGTGTGAGGGACCTCCATGATGGTGTGTGAGGAACCTACATGATGGTGTGTGAGGGACCTCCATGATGGTGTGTGAGGAACCTACATGATGGTGTGTGAGGGATCCACATGATGGTGTGTGAGGGACCTACATGATGGTGTGTGAGGGACCTCCATGATGGTGTGTGAGGAACCTACATGATGGTGTGTGAGGGACCTCCATGATGGTGTGTGAGGAACCTACATGATGGTGTGTGAGGGACCTCCATGATGGTGTGTGAGGAACCTACATGATGGTGTGTGAGGGATCCACATGATGGTGTGTCATACACACTCACACACACACACTTAATATGCATGTGTGTGTATGGATGTATACACAGTGACTATTACTTGGTCTACATCACTGACATACACACATGTACACCACACTGACACATGTACACACAGTACTATGTGTGTGAGAGTCTGAAGGTATACAGCTCCATGGGTTGAAGTGAGAGAGTGTATGACTTAGTCATGTCAACACCTTCATACAACATTGAGAGTGACATCTGCTGCACTTGTTCTCCAAACATTGTAGGGAACACCTGCGACAACCGCAC